GGAGTCACCAGCCCTGGGAGGGATCTAAAAGCTGTGTGGATGTGGCACTTGGGGACACGGTTTAGTGGTGGGCTTGGCACTGCTGGGTTTGGACTGGATGATCTCAGAGGGCTTTTCCAACCTAAATGGTTCTGTGACCTTCCTCTGTGGGAATTATTTCCACAGATAGGAAGGCTGGTGTTGCTGTGGGAGCAAAAACCAATCCTAGTGAGGCTGCTGGTTGTACCCAAAATTTGTTTGAGTTTGTTTTTCCTAAAATAAACCACTTTACTTGGAGGTAAAGTCCTTGCTACTCAAAGCATGTGTGGCATCACCAATTGCAACAACACTGCTCAGACATACCACACTGCTTTTCACAGCTCCAGTGATCTTGTAAAGGAGTTTTTGAGGGTTTTTTCAACGGTGATATAAGTACAGACCCACCCCAAGTCTATATTTCATATTATCATTTAATGATCTATAATTAGAGTTATATAATTCTAAATTATATTTATTATATATGGGAGGCGGAAAAAAAGCTCTATCTAAGGAATTAATTAATTTAAGGAAATTATTGTTTACTCTTTGCAATGATCAGTTGGATTGATTTTCTTTTGTCCTACATGTTTCCACGGAGCAGGTCAGAGAATCCTGGAACGGGTATTATTTTTACAAATGAAATGGTAAGAGCTGCTCCCTCAGGTCCTTTCTCCAGAGGAAATGGTCGGTGACGTGGATCTGGAGTTCTTCCAGGTACAGTTCTTTAGGATGCACTTCTTTCTCAGGTACCTTTAGGAACATATAAAATAACATAAACTGTCCAGGGGTGACCGGGAGAGCAGCACCATTTATGCACAGAGACAGGAAACTGGGAAGGTCTAGAAAGAATTTACTCTTAAAGATGTATTTCCAAACAGGTACATAATGAACACGGGATGAATCTGGTGTGGATAAACTCCTAGAGCCACAATTTCTCTTCAGGAGCTCTGACAGGCGTGTGCTGCTTCCCTCTACCGACCCCCAGTGTCAGTGCCGAGGTGGAACACACGGATCAACCAAAAATCAGCACAGAAACTACAGATTCTTCAATTAGTAAAGGGAAATAACCCTCTGCAGAGCTAAACGGGGTAAAAAACCCCCAGTTAAATACCAAATGTACTTCAATTCAGAGAATTCTATGCAAGTCTGTGATGAAAAGCAGCTGTTTGTGGCCTCCCTGGTTATCACTCTTGGTTTCTTGATACAGAATCTCAGCTGACTCTCTTTGGGGAGGCTGAAGGGATAAAGAACAGGTACAAAATGACAAACAAGAGGAAAAATACTCCCCTTCCAGTCTATAATAGAGAGTTTGGGTAATAAGGTAGGGTATTAGGGGGTATTAGGGAATGTGAAATAGGTACAACATCAATGCCACCATCAATTTATTGATTGCAGTGAGAGCTTCCTGCAGGGTCCAAAATTCACAGGGGTGAAAAGGGTCTGTCTTCCTGGGGCAACTCACACTGAAACAGGGAAGATCTGGAGAAAACACCCCAAGTGGACTTGGCAGGAGAGGAAAAAAATGCCCAAGTGAGTAATAAACAGGAAGAAGACAGGAAGAAGCGATTCAGTGGTTTTCTCTGCTCTGCTCTAGACCGTGGTGTTTTCTGATCCCCCTCAACAACTGCTGTGTTTATTTTGTTCAATGTGTCTCCTGGTGGATTCCAAACAACCCACATCCAGGCTGGAATGATGAGGTGGCCGCAGGCTGGGAGAAGATCAGAGTGGGGTTTCACTTCAGCTGTGTCGCAGGCGCTCCCTCTTGTCCTTACCGACGTCAGTCGCCGTCTCTGGAGCTCCAGAGCTGGAATTTCGTCTGTTGGGGGGGGTTCTTTTTGCTTCTTAAACCACTGACAATTTGCTCTGTGCCCTCCTCCCTGTTATCACTATGGCTGGGAACACCTTCCTGAGGGCTGGGGCAAGAGGCAGCTCTGGGGGCCCTCACTGCTCCGCAGCCGGAGGCTCTTCCTCGTTCTCCTGCTTCTCCGGCTGCGGTTCCGGCGGGATGAGGCACTGCACCTCCTCGGAGCTGATGGCCACCTTGTCAGGCTGCAGCCAGCGCTTCAGGTGCTCCAGAGTGCTGGGGGACAGAGAGACACACACACACTGAGAGCAGGCAGCAACAAAGCCTCGCAGGAACGCGCGGAAGCAGCGACGGGAAAAGCCTCCACAGGTAATCCCTGCCCCTCTGTGGGTATTCCTGTTCCCACAGGTGAGGTCTAGCATTGGATTGATCCGTATCCCAGAGGAGCAAGCAGAATCTGGCATTCTACAAAGCCACTCTGCTGCAGTTGGGCTTTATACACTCTGGTTAGAAAAGCTTTATGCTCTGATTTTTCTCAGTGTAAAGGATTCTTTTCAACCTTTACGCATTTGGAAGTTCTCTGTCTCTGATGCCAAAGATTCCAACTCAATCAAGCTGCCAGAGGGCAGGGTTAGATGGGATATTGGGAAGAAATCCTTCCCTGTGAGGGTGGGGAGGCCCTGGCACAGCCTGCCCAGAGAAGCTGTGGCTGCCCCATCCCTGGAAGTGTCCAAGGCCAGGTTGGACAGGGCTTGGAGCAACCTGGGCTAGTGGAAGGTGTCCCTGCCCATGGCAGGGGGTGGAATGAGACGGCCTTTTAGGTCCCTTCCAACCCAAACCATTCTGTGCATTTCCAGCTTTCTGGGCTGGAAGAAAAAAAAACACCTTGTGTTCAAACCAACCAAGCCCCCAACTGCCTCTTTGTGATGAAGATCAGGAAACACAGGGGGGAAGGGAAGGGCACAAAACCAAAGCAGGAAGCACATCCAAAACCGTGTGAGTGTTAATAACACCAGAAGGCTAAAGAACACCTATAACCCTAAAAATCTAATAACCTAGCTCTGCGTGCTTAAAAATTAAGGCTTGTTTAATTACATTGGTGGGTGGGACTCAAAACTTCAGCACCGTTCAGGAGTGACCTCTAACTTCATAGTCAAATTCTAGGGACTAAAATTCTTTCATGGATAACATCCCCAGCCTTTAAAAACAGTAGAAAGAGCACATAAAGGCTTGGTTTTAAATATAAATCCCCCTGAAGTCAACTGGCCAGAGAAAGACTCTGAAACCTCCTTATAAACACGGATTAATTTTCATAGTTAATTTCCCAAACTGGCTTAAATAGATTTTCTTCAAGGGAGAGATTGTCAGCCAGAAGCAATCATGGAAAGTGTCAGCTGAGAAAGGAGGAATTTGGAGAGCGTTCCAAGTGATTGGGAAGGGGAGATTGCTGAGGAAGAGTGCTCTCATCTTAATTCCTTCATCGTCCATGAGAGGGTAATGGGTGGGAGAGCAGAAGCACTGTAAGAGTGGCATGGATGGGAAATCTCATCCCAGGACTGGCACCAACCCTGTAATGACCCCCAAATCCCAACCTGAGACACACGGGACATTCCTTCCTCTGCTCCATTCCTTCCTCTGCTCCACTTGCTCCGTGTGTTCCCTCTAGGCCAGCCCAAGATCCTTCAGGAAGCCCGTGGCAGCCTCTGGGAGCTGCAGGGGGGGTGGTATTTCCCTGTAATGCCCTGACAAACCCTTACTCTGGCTTTCAAGAGGTGAGTATTGACCCCTTCTCCCCGACTCGCCCGTTACCTCTCGTCAGCGTCGTGGCCCTCCACGTAACATTCCGCCTCAAACTTCTCCTGCAGGAACCTGTCCCAGCACTCCTTCTTGGCCTGGGACAGCGTGCGCAGCATGTCCTTGGAGGTCACCTCCTGGGACAAGCCTTTGATCCTCATCAGTCTTCTCTCTGCAAAGAGAGGAGGGGTCTTTATCTAATTTCTGTTGATTTCTTTTTTTTTTTTTCCCTGAAGGGAAAGAAGAGAAGGGTCTGGACTTCTCTATCAAAAAAAAAAGTAAGTTGGGTTAACTTTTCAAGGCTAATTTCTATTTTAAAAGTCATTTCCACCCCTGTATTTCAAGCCTGCACGATTCTATTTCTTGCATGCACACAAGATGATATTTTTAGGTGATGCTTCTGAGGGAAATAAGGTTTATGCAAATCAGTTAACTCTGCCCATTTTGCATTTTAATAACAGTTACTGCTCAGTTTCCATGAAATCACACAGGAGGGCACAGAACTCGCAGGCACTGAGTTCCTGTAATTTTCATGCAAACTGGAATATAAATCAACACTCATTGCACTGCTGAGTGCACTGTAAAACAGCAGTGAAGGCAAGATGGAAGCTTTAGCAGAAACAAAAGCTTAAAGATCCACTTCTGCCACCCCTTCCTCCTTCCTTGCCGCTGTATGCAGCCTCCAAATTATTGAGGGGGGGTTAAAGCCCAAATTTTTTAGCTTTTACTTGATGAAAAGTTGCTTTCTGTGGCAAAGCTGAAGAAGCTCTGAGTGAGCTTCACATTTGCCACGAGTGCAGTAGGGGAAAGGAGTCAGATTCTCCACGAAACAGCTGGGGGACCTTCTGAGCAGAGCACTGCCACGCAGACAGAGGTGTCACCAGGCCCCTCGGCGGCGGGGGACACTCACCCAGGGATGCCAGGTACACCTCGGAGTCGTTCAGGGGTGCCCAGGGCTTCAGGCTGGGGCGGGGAGAGCCACCGGATCCGCTGCCCTGGGCGTAGGAGTCCGTGAAGGAGTCTGTGAAGGCATCGCCGCTGTCCTTGAGCTCGGGATGGGGCAGACAGGAGCAGATCTCGGCCCAGAGGTCCTCGCTGGACCGGGGCACCACGGAGTCCGCGCTCTCCATCATCCTCATCCTGGAGTCCTGGGATGGGGGAATAAACGGTGAGCACCGAGCAGAAACCCCCGCCCAGGCCTCCCCCGTCAGTCTCCCTCGG